CTTACCTTACGCTCAGACTACTGCCCTCCCCTCCCCCCTCGCAGACACATCTCCGGGCAGACGGACGTTCCGGTAACGCTCCAACGACTACGAACCCGAAAGAGGTGCGGAGCCAAGCCGGACACAGGGGGCCGAGTCTGCAAGGCGGCAGCAGCAAACCGAGCCGTTCAGCACCCCGGACAGAGACTGCCGACTCTCCAGCACCACGGACAGAAACCCCGCTGCAGTGCCTCCTGCAGGAGCCCAGGAGAGCTGCAACCGGCCCACCGGGGCTGGGCTCCCCCCTCGGCCGGCCGCGAAGTGCCGGAGGCAGCCAGTATTTAAAGAGCCAGAGCCAGCAGCGACGACACGCTCCTCTCAGTCCCCGCGCAGCTGAGGCTGCAGCACTCCTCTGACAGAACTGCATTCTGCTGGACATTGTTAGCTGCAGAGCTCAGCTCACAGACATCAGAGACAAAGATTTTGTTCTCCCTTAGTCTTGAAACAGACCTCATTGCTTCATTCATTGCTGATGAACTAGGTGCAAAGATCTATCAAGACCTGGGAAAATAAAATAAGACAAACAAGCAAACCCCAGTTTCCACAGTCCCAACGAGCTTGAAATTCAGTGTTTGACCACCTTAAATTTTACACAGGCTGAACTCTCTTTTAGGAACACTTTCCTGTAACTTCTGTAAGTGTCTTCACAAATAGTTCTCAAGGGATCTTGAACAACATTCAAAGCTAATCTCTGGGCCGTATCTTTACATACTGGCAACATGTTAAATAAAAATATCAAATTTGATTCATCTCTACATAAGTCCTGTTGCCTCTGGCTTTTAGTTCATCTGCCATTTCTATCAGTTTCCTTCTTATTAATGGCTTCTTGATACGGTACAGTATACTTTATTGTCCCCTAAGACAAATTTTACAGAAATGTGTAAAGTGCTGTCACAGAAACTGCTTTTTAAAAGAGCCAATAAACATTAAAAGAAAGACTAAAGAAATACCAAATAGAAGTGGATCGATAATGACAAACCAAGCAGCTTAAAAGCAACCAATACTCCACAGAAAACCTCTGTGCTACACAAAGCTCTGATGTAAAAGCTTAATTGGTGTAGGGACAAATGAAACGTTAATGCTATTCAGCCACATTTTAGGACTCTACTTTCTGCCAGAAGTCAAGAGCTCATACTTAGGATGTGGAATAGAGCCCTGTGTGCCTGACTGAGTACAGACTGCTCATAAATGACTGAAGGGAGAGGTCTTCGGCCCTCGGCACTCTAAAATTCAATTTTGCCTGCACAGAGAAACTTTCATGATACTTGATGGTATCCCATGCCATGAAAGCCACTTTTCCTCTGAGACAACTTCTAATGAGTCTTCAGTGAACAGCAGATTGGATGCATCTCTCAGGTCCTGTGTCAGGTCTTTGCTGGATCTTTTCCAGTTTTTGACTTTCAGATACTGTTCATCTGCTGTAGAGTTTTTAAAAACTCTAGCTTTCTCAGATGTTTTAGAGACTCCCTGCACACCGTTCTGAGATATGCCAAGTGTTCAACAAAAAGAAAATGGTCAAGCTAAGCCTGTTGATACAATTATTAATTAGTGCCTGTCAAATTGTGTTATCTTTGGCATTTTTCATAGATTTAACTCAAGAAATGGGGACAAATTCCTTGTTTTCATTACAGGCTGCCCAAAACAAAGTGTCTAAAGATATCACTGAAGATTGGTTCTTTGCTATGTTTTCTGTTATGTGTAGACAACACTTATTTATTCCTTTCCTGAATTTCCCATAATTTTCTGCCATTGTTTACGTCAATGTATGTATACGAGTGTGTATGTTGGGTAGGAGTGGGTGTAGGTGTGTCTTTTGATGCTGAAATGATTGATAGGTCAGAATTAATGATTGAACAAACAAATTTAAAAAAAAGCATAGGTGTGAAAATGTTGATTTTTTGATTTTTGAATATCTGGCTCCTGGAAAGCAAAATGGAAAGAAATGAGAGGTGACTCAAAACCTTTGCACAGTATTGTAATTGTGCATATCACAGACAGATGAGCTAGTAACAGCTGCTGTTCTGTCACAGGCTGGGTCTCTGACCCAGCACTCTGAGTTCTCTTTCTATTTTTCTCATTTTTTGATATATTATTAGTTTTTGTGTTATTTCCTATTTGCCTTTAGTTTGGGCGGTTATTGTTCCCGGGTTTTCTGTGTTTTGGTGTTTTGGGGTTTTGTATTCATTCATTATGTATTAGGTCTGTTAGGTTTGTGTTGTCATGTCTAGTTTTAGTGTTTCCTGTTTTATTCTGACAGTGTCATGTGTTCTTTGTTCATTGTATTTAGCTTTCCTCTCCTGGTCCTGTCATTTAGGTTTATGTCAGTCAGCTGTTCCCCCATGTGTCTCCACTTCCCCTGATCACCTCTTGTATGTATTTAAGCCCTTTGTTTTCTGCATGCTATTGTCGGGTCGTCTGTTATTTTGACCTTAGCCTTTGTTTTCGTCTTTGCCTGTTTATGTTCTCCACAGTTATAGTTATAGTTTTTGGTCTTAGTACCTCTTAGTGTTTTGTTTCGTAGTGTTTTGACAGTTTGCTTTGGTTTCCTGGTTTTCCCTGCCGTCATCTCAATAAAGGATCACCTTTCTGTTAAAACCTTACTACTCCTCGTCGTCGTCGTCGTCGTCATCATCGTCATCTGCTTTTGGGTCCTGTTTCCACACACATCGGCGCACCCCGCCGTGACAGAACAACCCGACAATAGCATGCAGAAAACAAAGGGCTTAAATACATACAAGAGGTGATCAGGGGAAGTGGAGACACATGGGGGAACAGCTGACTGACATAAACCTAAATGACAGGATCAGGAGAGGAAAGCTAAATACAATGAACAAAGAACACATGACACTGTCAGAATAAAACAGGAAACACTAAAACTAGACATGACAACACAAACCTAACAGACCTAATACATAATGAATGAATACAAAACACCAAAACACCAAAACACAGAAAACCCGGGAACAATAACCGCCCAAACTAAAGGCAAATAGGAAATAACACAAAAACTAATAATATATCAAAAAATGAGAAAAATAGAAAGAGAACTCAGAGTGCTGGGTCAGAGACCCAGCCTGAGACATGTTCACAGTGAAGCAGACTGAAAGTATGGCAGTTTTATACTTGAATGTGGAATGGCAGGGTTACTTTATAGTATGATCTCATACATCATATGAGATTAAAAACCCAAAATATTTGGAACTATTTCAGCTGAAATGAAATAGGTTTAAATAATGTTGCAAACAGGGCAGCAGTTCAAAAAAAATGAAGAAAGCACAAATGTGTTGGCTTTGTGTTCCATTTTCACACATTTGTAT